CTCTAACTTTCACATTCTGGCACGCGATCAATCTTACAGGCTTGGATTCAATAATGGCGGCTAATCAAATCCATTCCCAGAATGAAGTCATCTTCGATGCCAGCCACGAGTGCGCGATATCTTATCTTCAACGGACCAATGTAGATTTCTACTTCTGCCTGGCCCATGATTGGCGCCGATTCTCCAGTCACTGTCTTTAATCTGATTGTTTCGGATGAAGTCGCTAGGTCTTTAGCTCTCACGAGTCCTCAGCGCCAGCATCAATCGTGATTGCTGTAGGAGTTCCATTAATCTTCCCCGGTATAGTTGGACTACTGCCTCTGATGAAGCTTCCTATCTTCACTTCCTTGGGGGCCTTATTCACACCAGCCAGCACATCCCCTAAAGTACTGGCTGTTTTTAGTTTTCCTGCACATCCGTTGAGACGATCTCTGCTGTCTGCTTCTCCTCGGAGCTGGTGATCGAGCACGACAATTGCGTTTGACATGTCCTTGGCGCCCACACTTGTAGCATTCTAGATTTCTCTTAAGAGGCATACCATTCTCTAATCCTTGAGATATACCATCCATTGGTTGTGACAGTTTTTCCAGTATCTTCTTTATTCCGTCGTTTTCTTCCATCGCTAGTTCTGCCACTCTGCTTTGTGGCAGGTTCTTGAAGAACTGTACGCCGCCTAACTTCCAGCCTACGAATTAAGGCCTCGGATGATGTCTGATACCTTGATAGTTGTAGGACCTTCTTAACTTCAACTTCGCGAATACCATTTACGAAAGTTTCTGTCGCAAGCCTGTGTTGAAAATTTGGTGGTGCGTCGGAGAATGCAAGACGTACCAGTCTCTTGACATCTGCTTCAAATTCCTAAAGGGATTTTCCAACTTTCTGGGTTCTTGTTTTCACTTGGCTTGCAAAAACGTGTCTCAGATGTTCATCCACAAATCGAAGTTCCAGAGCAGCAGTTAGGGCACTGTCGCATCTGTTTCTATCTTCTTCAGACAGAGTTTAGAGTGTCTCGCAAACCAACGCTGTAGCTTTTTGTTCTTCTTCTCAGAGATTTGCCGTCGCTGCTGCTTCGAACTGCTTCTTGTATGATGCCCAAGGTGGCTGACCATCATGGTAGAATTGTTCTGTGGGGCGTCATCAGCATCACATTACATGGGCTAGCTGCTGCTGCATTTCTCATTATCTTCTCGAATTTCTTCATTTTGTTCGCCACCCTATCTTCCATTCCACTGACTTTTCTAACCAAGGGCCCAATTCCAAGTTGGCCGACGCAACTCACCACTTTGCGCCACCGATTTGCGCCAACAGTTATGGTGCATATTCAAATTCAAAATTTCCATTAATGCAACGAAGTTGCAACAACGACATCTTAGCTCTCTCGGTAATTTTTTTCGTTTCGACCTCACCTTCACTATAATTTTCGGATAAAATAACAGCAACACCCGCTAAAACTTGACAGACGACCGCCATTTTTGGAGATAAATTGCACTACCTAGTAGAGGTGCCGTAACTCGATGGTGCAAATTGGAATGGAAAATTCGACACAAGTGTGTTTGTTTATTCCGTCACCCTTGGCAACTAGCATTTGATACCCAAATCGGCATTATAAAGTGGCGCTGCACCAATGACTTGCGCCGTGGCAACTGGCCAACTTGGAATTGGTCCCTAAGGGGTCCTATTTTGAGAAGATCACTCAAACCAAACTAACTTCTACGTGACATTCTTTCGATGTATATATAAACATAAGTAAACACTTGAGCTTCAGATTGCTATTACGTAGTTACTGCTGAAGGATAAGGAGTGTTATTTATGCCTCTGGTTTTTACTTTACAGGGGCTATCACAAAACGAAAATCGTAAAATCTAATTTTATCATTTTTTAAACAGCTCATTTTTTAGATTTGCTTACAAAAATTAATAGATCAGTCATATTTTATTAAATAAATCAAGAATTGTAAAACTGAATACTTTGAGATCTTGCAGACGTTTTAAAGTTATTGTAACCATGGTAAATTTTTAATCAAAATCTATGTGTGTATTCCCCCCAAAAAATTTATGACGTCATCTCAAAATTTTTCCGAATAAATTCTACCCAAAATGTGCAAAATATGATGAGTTTTTACTTGTGATTTATCACCGCATTCATATTTTTTAGACTTGCTTAAACAGATGGCTCAAAAAAATTAATGAATAAGACAATTTATTTTATTTATTAAATCAATAACGGCCTAGTCCATTTTCCCAGAAAATTTTGGGAGTACAACACTGTTATTTTTAGTATTACACTCCACCAATCCAAGTTGATATACGTGTCCTTGCAAAAATGTTGATGACGTCATCACAAAATTGTGTAAAGGAAAAACTCAACTCAAAAATGCTGGATATGTTTCATTGTACTTCAGGAGCAAGGGAGGTTTTGTCGAAACAAGTTTCGGCTATTTTTCTTTTTCTTTTTGATATAATAATATACCTGGTTTTATTATCCGCTACAATTTACATGCTGTGACAATTTACATAGGCTGGGGAAAACTAGTGGATTAATTCCGGCTATAGCTTACATATGCCCCATCGACCGTGTTCAAACTTTCGAATTGACAGTAATCTGACAAAACGATAATTCTATCAAAAAAAAATCTTCAAAAATCCATGGTGTTTTTATTACACTCTCAGTATAATGACTCTGTTTACAGCAGCTTTTAATGAACTTGACCTTGTTAAAAAGGGACAGTTTATTTTTACGCAAACAACGAATCCCAATAAAGAAAAACAACTAGGATTTTATTATTATAAAATCAACACCATTTTGTACACATACCTGTAGCGAATGTTTTAGATTTTATCTTTTCGAAAAAGCTTCGCTATTAATTGAAATATCAGTACAAGGCAGTTCAACCAAATTATTTAATTGTTAAAATACAAAAGTATAAAAATTGTATGAAAGAAGAAAACATTTTTATGGATTAAAGTATTGTTTCGCTCAGCATTTTCGCGGATCTTCACCTTTACAAAAAGCAGTCTTACTAAATTTAACTATAAAATTTTATTAAAAAGCTATCGATGTCACTCGAATCTACTAAGAAATAAACTCAATTAAAAATAACTGCGAATGGGCTTAAAGTACACGTTATGTTCCGAAAACAACAATTTTGGAGAAAAGGAATTTTTACGTATAACGGGTGATCATTATTTATTTAAATTGGGTCAGCCTTGACTTTTAATCTGCAGGTCGCTGATAAACTGGTACTGTCAAATCAAATGGCAATAATGTAAACTCAAAAGTAGTGATTATAAAGGTAGAGTTTCAAAATGCGCCCCTTCCTCCTGTGACATAGAGTGGCGGCCAAAATAAAGCAGGACACCTCTTGAAAGGATGTTTGCAAGAAATTTAGTTGTGTAAACTGGACTTCATTGAATATATAATCATTAACAATGACATTTAAACGTCAATACAGATTTGAAAGTTACACTGAGGAAAGGAAACTGTCCTACTTTATTTTGGCCGCCCTGTATATATGCACAACGTCCGATCCATTAAAAATGCCGCCGCTTTAGACACCACAATTATCCGTTACATACAGGTACAGTACATCTTTTTAAAAAGGGGCGATAGGGATTCCCATGTTAAATTTTAGACCTCATGTTTACTTGTATTAGGGTAAAAACTCGCAGATGATTTTTGCGGTGGAAATAGCCTTAGGGTTCTACTTTAATTTTCACTACCGCTTTGTCAGTAAATTGTTAATTTGTGTTTCAAGAAGTAAAAGTTATTTTGGCTAAAAAGTTTAGGTACATCATAGAAGTTCTTGACTTGTCACTTTTTACAGGATAATTCTAATTTAATCGTTAAACACATTTACTGCAGTTTTTATAAAAGAAACGGAGTGATGGAATTCAAATATAAATGAAGGAAATAAAAGATAAATTCACTGAAACTGCGTTTTTGATGTCCACGATCTAGTAAAATCTACCATAAAATTTTTGAATTGTGCTCTTATCAGGTATGACACGATGTAGAAAGGTTGTAGCAAAATTTTGCGCGATGTTTCTTGTCGAGAAGCCTTTCATGTTTTCAATGACACTTTCCACTTTTTCTTTAACTGTGTCTTAACGAATTTTTGTCAGTAAAATCCAGTAATCGAAGGAGTAGTCAGGTAAAGGTCTGTTTATACTTGGCTGTTTTTTTGAGAAATTTCCTTTAATTTAAAGTATAACCTTTAAAAAAATCGACAAAAGGTGACGTAAATTACATCCAGTAAAAATTTCAACTTTGAATCTTTACTCAAACATGAGTTAACATAGGGTATAAAATTTAACGTAGAAACCCGTATGGCATTTTAAAAAGATGTACTGTATATATTTTAAAAACCAGACATATAATTAATTATGTTTATATTAATATTTTAATAGGGTAATTCTTTTGAAACGAAGGTTTGTTACTAAATTGATTAAGAAACATTGTTTTGATAATCATACATTTTTAATTGTCACAAAAAATATAACTGTTATCCAAATCTGGAATAAAATCCGTTATTATCCGTGTGGTACTGACAAATTTAACTATCAAACTATAAATGAATTTCAACAGTTTTGCTGTCATTTCCTCAGCTGATGACAACGAGTTTTTAAAACTTCCCGACAGTTTGTTGAAATTTTTGGTTTCGTAGGAATACGCATCGTTCCAAAATTTTATAGACAGACATGTGACATGTAGGTACGAAGTTTATGAAACAAATAGTTGAGATTACTGGCACAGATTACTGGTTTTTGAAAAGTTATAGGATCCGTACCAAACAGTAACTTTTAAACTCTCTGCTATATATCCGTGTGCTCCCTTTGAACAACAATTGCATTAAAGTTGTATCGAAATGACTTAGTTCAGTATTTTAAAAACAGAACCGTTAAAACAGGATTAAGAAGACAAGAATACGTATTATTAGTCAAAAAAAATCCATAACTGAAAAGGAGAATAACTTTATAAAATTTAATAATTTTAGTATCGAATAATTTATTTATGTTGGTAGCATACAATACTAAGTAGGAAAATACAAAAGCATTAAAAAGACATATCCCAGATGTAAAAAGCACTGATTTGCAGTTGATAACATGGGAAAATCGCGTTGCATTGCTTCTGAGTGCTCTCCTGAAAAAAAAAGAAAAAATAAAATATTTTGTAGACATATATATATACAGCATCGTAAATCACTTCGAAGTGGGATATTCTACAAAACTGATTACAATAGTTAAGTTTTTGTCATTGTGTCCTTTGTATAGTAACGTTCAATCAACCTTTGCACTTAGGGTCGCCCCTCTGCCATTATTCACTTTTGTCTTCCTGTTCCAACACATTTAGTGTCATGACTGATAAAGCTCGATTGAAAAAAGCGGCATTTTATTTTTACTGAATACAACAATTTAGTAATTACAGGTTACATTTCGTTCCGTTAACTAATCTTTCTGAAAGGGCTGATTGAACGACATTAAATTAGAGGAAACGAGACTTACTTTCAGCCACAAACAGTTTGACCGAATAGGGTTTCACCGACATTTGTAGGCAAGTATATTGTCCGCTGTCCCTCCACGATACCTTTGAAATCTTGAGTACGCCAATCACTTTCTGAGTCATTTCTCCGTAGAGGGTTCTCATGGAAATATGAGGGTCTGTCGTCTGGAACGGCAGAATTGATTAAGAAATTGGCAAGAGCGAATGTGCAATTAAGTCGAGAAGTTAGTTAACTACTAAAAAACGACTATGGGAATTGAAGGAAAATGCTAGTCAAAGTGGAACATCTACTAGCGATAGAATCCGAGTGAATAATATAACTGTCCGAGTTTATTTGCCAATTTTAAGTGACGTCGAATATAATACACTGCATTAAATATCAATCTCGAACTAGAGTTAACGCAGATGAGAAACAATTTCCTTATTATGCAACAATTTGCCGTTTGCTCGAACTTAGAGGTAACTGGTAATTTTGGGAATGTATTGTTCTATGCAACAGCAAATTGTGTTCCTCTACTGAATTCCAAAGTTGTTTCGCAAGGTGGGGTTACGCTAGGGATCGAAGTAGTAAATCCCACTCGTGTCGTGAAATAAAATAAAAAGAATGCTAACTTCAAAGAGTAGTTCTTTGTTGTCGTGCAACCACCGCACTTTCGGTTTAGCGGTCATGAAAACTCCATGCGCTCCAGATTGTGGAGATGCCACAGATAAGGGCGATATTTCACATGTGAAGGTCACTGGAGACCCATCTCGAACGTAAACTTCGCTCCGACCTTTTATTAGAGCTTGCCCAACCCATTTTGAATTAGTGTCCTCCAACTTTCGTACACCTGAAACTGAAACGATACAATTATAACGGATTTTCAGAGATCCAAGGTGCCTAAAGTACGTGAGTAACGTATACCACGATAAGATCGTTATTATGAATTTTAATTCACTTTTCAAAAACTTGCTTTATTCGTTTATTTTTTGAAATTGTACTTACAAATACACTGAAGTGTTTATCGGTCAAAAGTTAACAACTAAAGTCCTAATATATATATATAATTTTTTTAATGAGCTGTATTTTCCCTATACAACAATATCCACAGTATTTAACATTACAAAGTTAACAGTATCCTGAAAGTAAAGTTTCCCTAACTTGACATACAGAAAGTAAAGTAAGAGAAATCTTTTCATAAGATTTTAGTGGTATTAATTAGTTATATAATTTCAGGCTTTAGTAACACGTCTTACGATGAGATTAAAACAAACAAAATCAAATAAACTCGATAAAATTCTTTGCTATCTATCGAAAGCAGAAATAAGTGTCCTGATATCTTCAGTTCCGTGTCTATCAACATCGTTGACGATACCGGTAGAAATTATAAGAGATGCAGATATTTCACAGAATATAGACTCCACACTTACTTTTTTTATTATTATTTAATACCATTTTAGAAAATTTACTAAAGTAGTCGTTCAGCAGATGAACCCTGTTACTATACCTAAGTAGCTCTAGAAGCAAAAATAATCCCTATAAATAAAGGCAAAAATAATATGGATTATAACGCTGTAGTTATAAGCAAGTAGAACTTATGAAATTATGTTTAACAATCTCGGGTTTAATTTACTCGTTCCCAACAGCAAATTAAGAAAGTGTTGAGGACTAATCACACCTTCACCCATGCAACCCGAGGTAAACTCGCAACAGAGCAGTGCGCATGCCTACGATGTATTTTGCTGATTGGTCCTCTTATGCCCATTTGCACCAACGTTAGCGGTAAGCATTGCTTAGCTAAGCAATTCTTAAAAGTAACTACTTCTTAAATTGTACAGTTGTTGCACCGTCGCCGCTTAGACTCTACTTAACCAAGTAATACTTAGTTGGGGAATTGTGTAAACGTTTCATTTCTATTGGCAACACTGACGCTTGTTTGTATAGAAACGTCAAATATTTTAGGTTAGTTTGTGCGTGTGTAGTTCGAATAGTGCTGATATTTATTTTCTCTAACGTTGGTTGGGTGTTTAATAAAAAATGGGCTTAGAAGACAGTCAAATACCAGGTCAATATTGTTCAAAACCGGGGGACGGGAAATGAATTTAGAAGAAGTTTTATAACTTTTTTTTTGGGAAATTCATAATATTAACAAATCTATGCTATATTACTTTTTAATTTGATATTTTATTACATTTCCATGTTATTACGTTTAAATTTATTTTGCTGCTTCTTTTTTATTTCAATGTCTAACTCTAAAATTCGCTTTCGCACCTATAATTCCATATTTTCTCTTCCTATTCTTGTTCAGTTGTACCTCAAATAACTGTAGTTTCTCGCTCCCCTCTGGCGCTTTTTATTGTTCATATGAAAAATAGTTATTTATGCAACTAGTGCGTAAAGTGTATATTTTTTTCACGAGATGGAAAATTTGCCGCACGAATGTCTTCCTTTAAAAAATGACACGCTACGACACTTTTTCATTTAAATGCGTGAAAAAATGAAACACTATGACACGCTTCTAGTGCCATGAAATAAACGTATCGTTTATAAACAAAAATTAATAAAAAATGTTCCACTTTTTACGAACACGAAAAAAACATGTTATTCTTTACAACAAAACATTGTAACTGTGGTACATACCTCCTTTATATTTATTTTTAAATTGCTAAGACTTTATTTTACACTTCAGATACACTTTTGAGCACTGATAATTTTTAAAATTGGAAATTTTCGATTTCATGTAATCACCAAAATTATTATCCAATAGAAATAAAGTGTTGTTCTGTTACCATGGGTACCGCACATGCGTTGTATCGTTGTGTCTCGTTAAGCATTGCTTACAAATTTAAGCCTCAGGTAATCGGGCGCTTAAATTAAAGATTTCATAGAACCCTTTAAGAAAGACTTAAACGTTGGTGCAACACATTGTTGGTTTTAAGAAATTCTTAAATTTTAAGTATCTGACTTAAACGTTAGTGCAAACGGGCATTAGTATTTATGCGTAGAAAGTTTGAAGCTTGCAAGAATTTATAATGTACAAGTAGACACATAATTTGTTAAGTATAATTCCTTAAGTATAATTCGATTCTGGACGCTTCTAAGGTAGTGGCAGTCGTCAAGGTTATAATAATTACAATAATTATTACTAAGCATGAGTCTAAATGATTAGAAACGAGGTTTTAAACCATAGATAAAGGAGCATCGTATGCGCATGTTTCAATGAGTTTTTCTTTATAAAATTGTGTAATGACTAATGAGTTCATTAACTCTTTAGCAGGAACAAAATATGTATTATATTAAGTTGTATAAGCACAAATTGATGGTAAAAACAGCAGAATATTCCGTCAATTTTAAAGAAATGAGTAAGTAGCTTTTGATTTAATCAGTAAAATAAATTGCTCAGTGCATTAATTTTTCGAAACGCCCTGTATAGGTAATTCTAGAATAGTTATTTGTATTATAAACAAGGCGTTTCGCGAAAATAAGTTAATTTGTGGGACCGAGCCGATAGTCAAGGCCTGTAAAAAAGGGGTACAAAAACATATTCTGCGCGAATGATGCACAAGATTTGTTGTGTCGACCTTAACACAAAAAATGGTCGAAAGTTGTTTCGACAGAACTTCCCTCGCTCCTGAAGTACAATGAAACATATCCAGCATTTTCGAGTTGAGTTTTTTCTTTACACAATTTTGGAATGACGTCATCAACATTTTTGCAAGGACACGTGTATCAACTTGGATAGGTGCCGTGTAATACTTAAAATAACAGTACTGTATTCCCAAATCCATTTCTGGGAAATTGGAGTGAGCCGTTCATGATTTAATCAATAAAATTGACTCATTCATTAATACAATGATAAATCACAAGTAGAAACTCATCATTTTGGGTAGAATTTATTCCGCAAAATTTTGAGATGACGTCATTAATTTTTTTGGGGGAATAAACAGATTTTGATTAACAATTTACCATGCGTACAACAACTTTAAAACGTCCGCAAGATTTCAAAGTAGTTAGTTCTGCAATTCTTGATTTATTCAACAAAATAAATTGACTAATTCATTAATTTTTTTGCGTGACCCTGTATAAGCAAATCTAAAAAATAAGGTTCTTAATTTGATTAATAAAAAATTGGTCGAAGACTATAAGTATAATCCGACAAATCCAGCCGTTTAAACAAATTATAAAATTTGATTTTACGATTTTCGTTTGGCCTATGTAAAGTAAAAACCAGAGACATAAATAACACCCCTTGTCCTTCACCACTAAGTAATAGCAGTCTGACATTCAAACGTTTATTTATGTTTATATATATCGAAAGAATGCCACGTAGAAATTAGTTTGATTTGAATGAGTTTGTCTTCTCAAAACAGGACTAAATTTAATAATTGAACTATAATCGTAGAAAATGTTCTGAATGTTGTAGTTCTTACTTTATCATTGTTAAATAAAGAAGTGCGTATTTTTCACATTTTCGAGAAAATGGGGTGATTCGTTTTTAATTTGACCAATAAAAAAATTGTGATGACGTTATCAACATAGATACTACTAGTCACAACACAAAAGAAAAGTAGTCACAGCGTATTACCGATGCAAGAAAAAGAGAAGTAAAAAGGCAAGTTCGGCATCGAACCCGCGAGGGTAGGTCGTGTGCTTCGCCGTAAGGCGCATTCTCCCCGACATTGCCACTACTCCACGGAGAATGATAGTCAGTGCTATTAATATAACGTTATTATACTGTGCATATGTTTTTGCGAAAATTTGAACGTTAAGCGAAAAAACTGAAAGCGGATTCGTATACTACAAGTATAGGAATATATTTTTGTATAACATTTAATTCATTTTAAAATACGGTTCATTGAAATGACTAGGGTGATTATCCAAATTTTGGTTAGCATTTAGCCATCTACATGAAATTTCTAACATACCTACAAAATTTGAAAACAATCGGTCCACCAGTTTCGAAGATTACGTGTCTAATAAAAATGGATAGAGACAGACAGATAGACAGACAGACAGATACACAGCCAGACAGGCAAACGGAAAGGGAGACTACTTTTTTGGTACTGTAGGGGTCATCAAACATAAAAGTGGCAATTCGTCCGATGGACTCGATTACTATGCTTCCTTAGCTTACGCTCGGAGAGTAATAAAGATTGTTTGCAAATTTCCTGGTATTTATTTCACGTTTAAGTAAACACATACAAAACAGTGGTTTATTTTGATTTAAATTTTCCTAAATTTAGGACAAAAAATAATCTTCCAAATTGCCTTGTAAAACTTTTATGACTTAAGCGCCTCAGGTCAGAACACCCTTATAAGTCAAACTGGCTATTGTATAACTTAACTCAGTTCGCAGCTCCATTATGGCAAAAATGGACAGTAATAATAATCCTTGCGGTTCGAGTCCACAAAGCTTACAACAGTCAGTTTGACTTATAAGGGCTTAAGTTGCTTAAGTCATAAAAGTTTTACAAGGTATATGTCAAATGAGTTTATTTTACACGTTATCGTAGATAATAATAAAGAATAATAATTAAAAAATTCCCTATTATTTGTGGTATGTCTTACACCTGTGACAGTAAGTTGCCTGATCAGCTTGCCTATTGAGAATTACGTGACATTGTTGATCGTTGTTTCGGATAACATATTCCGAGTTCATTCTCGTGCAATTTGCACTAATTTTCACCTCCTACCGATTTTAAATTCGACATTAAGAACATAAAACAAGTGAATTGTAAGCCTAAAAAGAGATGAGGAACTTATTCTAGAGATCTAGAACAGGTTAGTTTAAGTTGTTTTTTTTTTTTTTCAGGGAGCTACTAGAGAGTTTGATTTTTTTCACGGAGCTTTAATGGT